AGGTTTTCAGCAGTTCTCTAAGTCATGTCAATCCGTGGTTAGAGTTGAAAAGGCAAATCAAATTCCCACGAACTAACTCTCTATGTGCGTCGGTGGCACAGCGGTTAGGACGCTCGCTGACCATGCACATGGTCCGGGTGACTGCTCTCTAGTGGCTGGCTACATGAAGCTTTTGTCTGGAATTCTGGTGGAGTCCTGTCAGTCTGGAATGAGGAGAAACACTCGTCGCCGATGATATTGACTGGTGCCAGTCGAGCTGAAATCACGAACTGAGGAGTCAGGTCCCAGTGGCTGGATGGTTTACGAGCTTGCCTTGTAACTAGAAGGTCTTGGTTCGAAACATAGTGGGTAGGTACTGACGATGAGTCCCAAACTAGGTCGAAACAGATGTCCAATACCCTCTGATCGTTTCCAATGGTTCTCTGACTGATATCAATCCATGCTTGAACGTGAGAAAAAATCTAAACACCTGTCACTTAAGTCTCTAATATAATAGTGCTGTGTTTGTCTTAGGGGAGAGCTAGGGGAGTGTAGATTTCTTTCAAATCAGATAATTGCTTTACAGATAGGTGTTACTTAACAAGCAGTAAATTTGGATTAACTGGCCTTGAATGGAATAATTCTGTTGAAATTGAAATGCCTCCTGACAAAGTTCAAAGGTCAGATAGATTAAGAAACTGTTAAAGTTAAAGAATAGAGACCCAAGGGATGAGAAACGCACGACTAACTCCAAAGTGACCAGTCAGAATTTTTTATTCCTTTACATTCACAGTGAAACACAGGGCTTCAGGCTAGAGGTTTGAAGTTCCTGTAGCAGTGGTGTTTATTTTTACGTGATGGAGTTGGGAGCCTCGTGCCCAGTTTATTATTGGCTTAGCAGAGACAGTAATATCCATCCTGTCATATCAACGCATACTGAAAACCACAAACACTAATTCAACTAGGGACATATACAAATCTTAGACCATGGGATCTCCAGAAGCCTAGTACTCAAACAAATCTTCATTTAGCAGACAGAACTGACAAAGACAAAACTAACTAACCAAAATTTTATTCGTTTGCCATCCCAGTGGGACATATACCTTCAAGCATGACCTCTGAGATCTCAATAGCAGAGATATTGATTCTTTTATTGCTAGCTTCATGCCCAACGTCCCCTCATTACCAAATAAGTGAAGTTTAAGAGTACATCATCCAGGATTTTGTCCCACCACGTGTGTAAGCCAATGATGCGTAAATCAGCCAATAAAATATATTATCAAATTCAAAGTTAATAAAAACGATCAATACCAGTGCAAATCAACAACCAATCAAAACCAAGGTCATTAGGATAGACAGTTGTATCATTATTCACTTCGTATTCTATACAGCCTACACTGAATATGCTGTCTAGATAGGTAATGAAAGCTTCGTTGCAAATAACCTACTCAGATTAGAGAACACAAAATGGAAGAATTAAGGTAACTGTTTATTGGACAGATGAAGTGAGAAACATTGCCTACATTTAAGTGAGAAGATGAGTAGAGGAGAAGAGAAGAAAAATTAGAAAATAATAATTAAATAAATTCCGATTTTCTTTTTAAAACTGTATAATTATAGGGTTTGAAAGAAGGATGTAAGCGCGTAAACATGCAGTTATTTTAGTTAGTAGTGTTTCTAAATTTAGCAAAAATCAATAAAAGAGGATAACTTTTAAGATAGATTGATCAATAAATAGAGAAATACTTTTCGTCGGGACACGAAGAATATTCAGTGAACGAGAAAAAAGGTATTGAACAACTGTAAACACATAAAACTATTTTTTTTTATTATAGCTTGATTCCACACCGTATTTTTGGTACAAGTATGGAATTTTCAGCATGTGATATCGGTAGCCCAAATTTTGCAGGCCGACCAATTGATACCAGGGGTGTGCGTCTGTAGGAGGTCGAACCCCGGACCATGTGCATGGTCGGCGAGAGTCCTAACCGCTGTGCCACCATAGTTTTGTACATGACTCTCTTACACCAACCAATAGTGCTTGTCAGCCAGTCAACCAGTCAGTATTTAAACACCATTGGACGGCTGTTTCGCTCTTTTGGGTCCAAGTTTATCAGTGGTGTAGACGATGGTGACTTAGCCTTGATAGCTGAATCACTTCAGAAGCACATGATTTCTGGCTAGCTGCTTGAGCGAACCGGCAGCGAATTTGCAATTCACAAATTATTTAACCGTGTGAAACATTCCCATATCATGAATAGTTTTTGTCCAAATAGCTATAAACGAGCACTGGTCAAGACTCTGTACTATAGAGCGAGAAGAATATGCTCTATAGAGAAATTAAAGGAAGAATTTATGTTTATTGAAAAGATATTGAAAAGCAATGGTCACCCTCAATGATTCATTACCAAGTAGGGAAGATCTGAAGTCTCAAATATCAAACAAATCACAGTGGAGAAAAAGCCTATCTATATTCAACTTGATTATAAAGGTGAAAATATTACAGCGATGATCAACAGAAGATTGAGAACGCCTCTAGGGAGAGCATATCCTGCAGCTAAGCTCGTTCCCGTCTGTCAGACAACTTGCTCTTTAGTGCAATCAAAAATCGATAGATATCCTTCTCATGTGAACTCCAACTGTATATGCAAATTTACATGTATCTGAGGGAGCAGTTACATTGGAAGGACAGAAAGAAGAGCATATCTATGATTTTTTGAACATGTAACAAAAAGCTTATGTCTAAAGAGAACAAATGCTTTAAGCAGTGCCATCGCCGGGCTTCTCCTTGACACTATTCAATTCGAGTCCCAGTGGGAAAATCATTAGTCAGCGCAGATACAGCTACATTCAGATGACGAGTCCTAAATAGGATAAAATGGGCATACTCTGGACTCTACCACTAGGCACTATCAAGTAAGTGTCTTCAAATTAGAAGTTAATTGGTGGATGGTGACTAGAGGTGGAGTTCAGGACAACCAGCATTCCGTCCTATTTGTGACTTTTCAACTGGATGTACCTGCATTCCCCACTGAGTAATGATGTTCCCACAGAGGCTCGAACCCAGTACCCATAGTTTCAAACACCGAAGCGTTATCCACTAAACCACTTGGGCCACGAGAGCCACCACCTCTTATGCAACAAGTCATTCCCAGAAACTAGGATGAAACAGCTGTCCAGTACTCCTCGATGTTTTTCAATGGTTCTCCAACTGATATCAATCCGTGGTCAAACTCGAAAAATTAATGTTTTTATTTGAAGATCCTGGCTGGACGAAGAGAAAATATCATGAAATAAACTCTGCTGGAAATTCTCTACATTATATAAACATTGTCCAGAATAAAACTATTACTATTATAAAATATCCAGAGATAACAGCGGACCACTACTGGAGAAGGTGTGGAAAGAGGGCAAGGTACCCGAGGATTGGAAGAAAGGATACTTATTCAAACTGCCAAAGAAAGGAAACTTAAGTCAATGCAAGAACTGGCGCGGAATTATGCTACTGTCCATCCCAAGCAAAATACTAAGCCGCATCATCCTGGAGAGAATCAAACAAGCCCTGGATGAAAAACTTCGACCGGAACAAGCTGGATTCAGAAGAAACAAGTCATGTATTGATCAAATCGCCACCTACGGATCATCTCAATTATGGATAAAATTTTATTTTGATAAATCACACAGTGCTGTACAGTTAATATTACTGTACAACACTGTGTGATTTATCAAAATAAGATCTTATCCATAATGGAGTTATGCTCTACCACAGTGCCCAAGTTTTATACTTATATTAATACTACGGATCATCATTGAACAAAGCTTCGAATAGCAGTCACCTCTTTATCTCAACTTCATCGACTTTTAAAAGGCCTTTGACAGTGTCGATCGAGAGGCGATTTGGCAACTACTTCGCTACTATGGGGTGCCACCGACAATTATACATCTCATCCAACAGCTGTACGACAATGCTGCATGCCAAGTAATCCACAACGGGAAACTCACGGAATCCTTCGAATTGAGGACAGGAGTAAAACAAGCTGGCTGCCTACTATCACCAATGATTTTCCTGATTGCAGTAAATTGGATAATGCGACAGTCAGTGGGCAATGAGGAAATAGGCTTAAGATGGACCCACACAAAAACTTGGAGGATATAAACTTCGCCGATGATATATGTCTGATTTCCCACAAACTGGAAGATATACAAGCGAAAAGTAATAAGTTGACAGGCGAAGCATCAAAGATAGGACTTCAGGTGAACATAGAGAAAACAGAGATAATGAAGATTCCTGGTCAACACCACCAACAGCCACAACAACAACAGACAACAATCAGCATAAATGGGAGGAACCTGAAAGAAACAACCTCTTTTACCTACCTGGGAAGCATCGTTTCAACTACAGGCAGACGGAACTGACGAGGATATCAAAGCGAGAATCAGAAAAGCAAGACAAGCTTTCACTACTCTCAAGTCTGTGTGGAGGTCAACAGCACTCAGCATGAAAATGAAAATAAGATCTGGATTTTCAACTCCATTGTGAAGTCAGTCAATGCTACTATACGGATCAGAGACTTGCACTGCGCGTCATAAAGAGCATCTCAAACAAACTACAAACCTTCATTAACAGTTGTCTTCGCTCAATACTCAAGATCAGATGGCCAGCCAGAAAAGATCAGCAACAGAGATCTCTGGCAATGAGCGAACCAACCAGGAACCGATTGTGAAACAAATAGGCAGGAAGAAATGGAGATTGATTGACTGGTCATACTCTCAGGAAACCATCAAGTGACATCACTAGACAAGACATCGAGTGGAACCCGAAAGGGAAGCGGCGAGTTGGTCGTCCAAGGAGGTCATGTGAAGAGGAGATGAAAGCATGTGGTCAGACCTGGAGCCAGATGAAAACGTTATTAGAGAACCGAACGCAATGGAAACGTGCAGCTGAAGCCCTATGTTCCTCTAGGAATTAAAGGAAATAATAATGATATAAATAATATAATATAAAATAATATTCAGCCTACTTGTGTTTGTGTAAGTCCCAGTGAAGCCGCCAATTCAGCTCTTTCTGGCAAACTTAAGTATTGAGTTAAATGAAATCGTTTAGCGAGCTGTTGTAATTGCATACTGGAATAGATTGTTCGTGGTTTGCGGAGTTTTTTATTCTTGTTCTCTTGTCCAACAACTCTTGAACACGTCATTGATGTCGACTGTGGTTGTGGTGCGTGTGGTGGTGGCGGTTGTGCTGCTATCGATGACATTGTTCCGGCTATTGATGATGTAATTGTTGTCATAGTTGTTGTATAGGCAGATGGAGAGCAAACAGAACAGGCACCAGATGAAGAGCATGTAGAATAACCTCCAGAATGTGTTAAATTAAACAGTCTATTGTTAATATTACTCATTAAACTGTTAGGCATCATCTCAGGATTCATGTATCCATGAATATTTTTAGATATTGTTGAAGCATGAAATGTATTGTTCGTTTGGTAATTTGAATAATCCCTGCTTAGAATTACATCTGTAGATCGGTCTAAACAATATCGATTACTTTCCTTTCCCAGTCGAGTATTTCCTTCGTTCTCATCCAAACCTATTTCATCATTCTCTTCAGATAGGGATCTTGTCAGTTGGATGTCATTACATGAAGCGGAAGTGACAGCAGCAGCCGCACCACCAGTCAGGTCTATTCTCCACGAAGGTTTATACTGTTCATAGTGTTGTTGATGGCTACTATTACTTCTGAATAACTTTTGACTTGACTGAAAAGTCGACAGCCCGCTTGGACTGGTATTTCTACTGTCACGTCCAGGCGTTTGATAGGCTTGGTTAAATTCCGTATAATTGAAATACTCTTTATGCGACTGGTGAATATCACTTGTCATTGGTGAAGGGTAATAGGCTTGTGAAAGATATTTTTCACAGACGACAGTTTCATTTTGTACATCAGTAAATTGATCTATACTACTGATTAAAGGGGTTTGAGTAGTATTCTCTCCTTCTATAACTGATTGTTTTATTTTACTTACTGTTGTTAAACATAATGAAGGTTGTATCCCTTCTGAAGGTGAAGATGCCGAGGCGACAGTAGAAATACCAAGTGATGTATTCGAAGATATGTAACCAGAAGAATCAGTAATATACTGGTGTATAGGATAACATGGAATATTTTCAGAAGAGAATATCAGGGGATTATCACATGTGCGTGGAATTTCACATTTCATTTGACGATAATCATAACTGCTGGCGTCGTTAAACCAGTTGATCAGTGGGGATTGTCGACAATGCTTCAGAGTACTTGGTGAAGCTGTTATGCTTATTGTAGGATTATTATTGTTGTTGTTGTTATTATGTGTTAAGATGTGTTCAGACAGTTCGTCTTGATATTGTCTGTGATTATGATGGTGATGATGAGGGTGATGCTGACAGTGGAACTCCTGTAAGTACTCTTCGCTGTCCAATTCACCTCCTTCTTTCAATTCTTCAGTTTCTTCTGTGTCAATCGCTTTGATTTCTCCAATTTCTCTGTCATTTCTACATATTTTCAAAATTTCACAGTTAAACTGCTGATCTATTCCTTTGTTTGCTGAAATGCCTATAGAAAAACAAATGAAAATAATATTTTGCAGATATATTCATGTCCACATTGGAAAAACAAATGCAAGGTATGCTTGGAGAATTTATGCTGTATAAACGTTATGTAGACGATACTCTCATTATTAGTAATAATAGTAAATCTACTGAAAACTTTATTACCCTATTTAATCATATTCATCCAAATATCTGAGTGACTTCCGAACACGAATCGAATAACAAACTCGGTTTCCTCGATATTACAATGACCAGGAGAGATGATGGAACGATTCAGCGATCTATTTTTCGTAAACAGACATGGAGTGGACAATATCTTCATTTTACCAGTTTTGTTCCTATCCAATATAAACGTTTCCTAGTGAAATGTTTGTTTTGAAGGGCCCGAAAAATATGCACGAGTGATACATTGATGGATGATTTTCGTCATATACATTCAGTTTTATTGGCGAATGGTTATCCGGAGAACTTCATCACTTGTCGCAGTAAAAAAAGACCACACCTCGAAAAGACAGCTTCGGTACCAAAGAAAGCTATCTTTATTAACCTACCTACCATTTAAGGGTGACCAGATTATGCAGTTGACAACTCAAAGACTTCGGTCAGCCATCAAACGCACATTCTACGCCGCATCTCCTTTTCTCACTTGCCGAACATTTTCGATCCCTGCACCTACGATTAAAGGACGGAATTCTATGAACTCTACTTCAGACTGTATCTACAAGTTCACCTGCAGTTGCGGTGACACACACATATATAGGCAGAACCAATAGAATGTTCCAATGTGGTCGTCGAAGAGAACATGTTCCAAAATGGCTACTAAATCATATAGAAAATCTCAATGCCAATAATCTGAATAGAAATCCAGCATCATCCATTGCAAAACACTTGTTGATGTCAGGTCACAAAATCAATATTATTAATGACTGCTTCACAATTATTTCATCACATAACTCTAATTCAAGGTTATTGAAGGTGATGGAAGCACTTTGGATTAATCACATACAGACTAAACTGTGTATCCAAAAAACAATGGACTTCAATCTTCGCCTACGGTGGACAACATGACCTATCTAAATATGATTGGTCATCAGTATGTACTTTTGTTTTTTATTTAACTGAGTAATTGTCATGAACTTTATTCTATTATTGTTAACCATGTTAGTTGTTAAGCGGTTGTAAAGCAGCTACGAAATGACGATATCATCTCGCGAAATTTGTCTTCTTGATGCCTTATTCAAATTTGAAATTTGTTTGGATCGACTTGATTGGTTCTAAGACTGACTTTAGTTTGAGGATATCCTGGACAGCTGTTTCTTCAATGGACCTATCGGTAGGTTACAAGGTGGTTTTATATACTACTGAGCTACTGGAACAGAACCGAATGACCATTTTATGAATTCTAGCTTTTACCAACTCGCCACTAATAGTGCAACCGCCGGTCGGTATCATCACCAAGTATTTGACCTCACTCCTGTAATTTGGTGAACCGAACTTCCTGAATGGTCTAGGAGCTCACCTTGTAGCCTAAAGATCCCAGTTCTGATCCCTGGCAATGATGTTATGGGTATATAGCATGCTGAAGAGTTCCAGGCCAGGACGAAACAGTCGTCTAGTACTCCCTGGTGGTTTTGAGTAACTCTGTGAGTGAAGTCAATTTGTGGTCAATCTTGGCAAAATAATTGATTAATTAATTGATTAGGCGTATGTGAAAACGTAACATAACATTTTTTAAACTTTAACTTAACTTTCTTGTATATCTATTGAAAACAGAATATTTAAGAATTTTAGTATGATTTTTAGTACGCTTATACTACTAAAATCAATTCAGCTGTAATTTCTGATGAAATTGCCTTTTCCACAGAGTAATAAGTTTTCTAAAGTTTGGTTTGTAAGGATCTGAAAGAAGCAACCTCCTTTACCTACCCACCCACTGACCTGGGAAGTATTGTTTCAACTACAGGCGGAAGCAACTGATGAAGATATCAAAGCAGCGAGGATCGGAAGAGCAAAGCAAGCTTCCATTACTCTCACCAAGCCTGTGTGGAGATCAACAGCACTACTGAACATGAAAATAAGATCCGAATTTTAAACTCCAATGTGAAGTCAGTGCTACTCTACATGGATCAGAGATTTGGCATTACGCCACGTCACGAAGGCCACTTCGAACAAACTACAGACCTTCATCAACAACTGTCTTTGCTCAATACTACTCAAGATTAGATGGCTGGCCAGAAAAGATCAGCAACAGGGATCTCTGAGAGCGAACGAACCAACCTAGCAGGAAGCAGTTGTGCAGCAAACGGAAGCTTTATGCTTATCGAATCAACTTAGAGGGAATACGTGCAATAGGAATGATTCAACACCTGTCCAGCCGGACATCTGGAAAATTCTGCTACCCACTCCCACGACGAATAGGGAGGAATAAAGAAAACTACAAAATTCAAGTTTCGAAGTTGTCTGATTACCACTGGTATGATTATGAACAACAATAAATTGTGTTCGTAACTTTGTCATCCAGTTAACAGTAATACTGTTTCACATTGTGTGATATATCTAATAAACAAATAGATATGAAATGTCATTAGCTCTCCTTTTTAAAGAACAATAATCAAGTTAGAGTTTGCATGGGGGATGAAAGCTCCGTCTACAAAAGTCTAAGGTAAAAAGAGAGAAATATAAAAAACTTTTCAAACATTTAAAACTTGCTCTAACGGTTCGTGGAGAATTCATTTGTCAAATTCTCTATTTGTAAATTAATTTCCAATTAACACAATTCCGATAAGATGAAATTCCACGACAGTTTCCTCTGGAAACCAAAAGTGTTCAGATCACAATATAGAATTATAATAATACCTTTATTCCAAACAGAGTACTTTTGGTACAGATATGGAATTTTCAGCATGTAATAGAGTACGCCGTTGCACCTAATTTTCTCATTACAGAGGCATTGACATTAATAGTAATAATAAAAATGCCGTTTACTTAGAGTTGCTCAGTAAGTAGGTAATTTCTTGTCTTACACTTTTCTCACCACCTAAAATGTGTCCTGGCCAAATAAGGTATTGTAGAGCTTTTATGTTTAGTCGTCCGAGTATACAGTCTTCTGTTGTTGCTTCTAGTTGTACTCGATGAGATGCAGCAAGAAGACAAATGCATATGGAGAGAGAGGATGTTCAGAGTCTGATAGGACAATATTTGCTAACCTATTGCTGGAATCTAAGTGTCTGTCTACAGTAGTATCAACAAGTTGGTTTAGCAACATCCCACTTGCCCCACTGACAGCTTTTAGTGCCCTACGCTGTATAACAAAGTCTTTATTAAGTAACCCGGGAAAGATTAAGGGACAGAGACAGTAAAGAAGTACAGACAGAATACAAGAATTAACAAACGTTAACAGTAGAGACGGAATGATACCAGATCGTCTTAACTTCCCTAAACAGAACGACAAACGAAATATCTTTCTGGAAATTAACATGATTTGGGAAGACCAGGAAAGATAAGACAAAATACACAGTCCAAAGTATTTCACATTCAACTTCATTGCCATCTATGATAGTGCAGTCATGCGAAATAACCAGTTCATATACGTCGCGCTTGCATCTGAAAGTGAAATTAACCACCTGATATTTGGAAGGATTTGGCTTAAGACCATTAACTGATTTCTGAGAAGAAGCTATTCATTTTGGAACTTCACATTGTAAAAGGTTTACTGTTTCCTATCAGAAAAATAGGAATCCAACCACTTGATTGTCCAGTACTGTGTTTGTGACGCAACAAGCTTATTTAACAAAAGAGGCCTAGGTAAAGAGTCGAAGGCAGATGTGTAATCCAGGAAGGTACACCGAAAATATTTGGCATTTCAGCACAGGTTTTTGTTTATTTTTGAGAAGTTGTAAATTTTTCAAATCAATATATGAGATCTCCCTTTTTTACCGTAAAATGGTGATCAAGATCACTGACATCTGCTTAAAAAGTGAAGCACTATTGTTTAACAAGATTTGCTTTC